AAAAATGAGAAGTAACAGGAAGCTCCAGATAAATTGCTGAGTTACTTCTTGAAATGTTAATAGAAATTCATCAGGTGGGCACATAATAGGACAATTGGGGTAGATGACTAGTAATCACCAGTCATCCAAGATTTTTGATTCATCCAGAGTAGTATAGTAGTTCTGCTCAGGAATTCACGGACATTTCCAGTCTTTTAAGTCAGGCTTTTACAACTCTTGTATTGCTGATATTTTGAATAAGACAATTCTTTGTTTAGAGGGGCTATTACTTGTATTAGATGATGTATAATAACAACCATATCTATTATTTTTCTTCAGCAAATGACCTCACCTTCCAACTGTGACAACTGAAAATGTTTCCAAACATTGCCAAATGTCTTTTGCTATTTAAAGCATAATTTTAGTTCTAAGGAATTTTCCTTCACTTACTCTCTCAGTACTGAAAACTATTTTTCTTTGGCTCAAAATTGAACTACACACTTGATATAGTAAGTGTGATAAAATATAAGTCTGTCAAGACATTATTGATAGCAATTATAAAAAGGGATCTCTCTCAACAACAATATGAAAAGACAAACTACTGAATGGGGGGAAATATTTGCAAATCATAGATCTGATAAGGGGTTAACATCCAAAATATATAAATAACTCATACAACTCAATAGTAAAAACACAATTAATTAGAAAATGGACAGATATCTGAACAGGTGTTTTCCCAAAGAAGATATACAGATGGCCAACAGGTACATGAAAAAGTGGTTAACATCATTATTCACCAAGGAAATGTAAATCTAAATCACATTATCACCTTATACTTGTTAAAAGGCTTATTTATCAAAATAAGGTAATAAATGTTGGTGCGGATGTGGTGAAAAGGGAACCCTTATGCCCTTTTGCTGGGAATGTAAGTTGGTGTAGCCTGGAAAACAGGATAGAGGCTCCTCAAAACATTATAAACAGATCTACCATGAATTGTAGATATATCTATGAATTCCACCTCTGGGTATCTGCGGAGATGGAAAAACTATTACAAAAAGGTTTTTGCACCCATGTTTATTGCAGCATTACTTACAAAATGCAGTACATGCAAGTACTTTTCTTATTTTCAAGCATCTATCAGTAGGTGAATAATTTTAAAAAATGGGTCATATGTACATATATAGTGGGATATTATTTAACCATAACAAAGAACAAAACTTTGCCATTTACAACAGCATGAAAGAAACTTGAGGATGTTATGCTAAGTGCATAAAGACAGAGAAAGACAAATATGCATTGTTTCACTGAGATGTGAAATATAAAAACAAAACAAACCAAGTTCACAGAAGATAGAGAACAGACTGGTGGTCATCAGAGATGGAGAAAAAGTGAAATGGGTTAAAGGACTCAAAGATTAAATACTCAGATTTAAAATATGCAAGCAATGGGGAGTTGCTATACAACATGTAAGACTGTACTGCATATCTGAAAGTTGCTCAGAGACTTAAAAGTTCTCATCATAAGAAAAAAAATGTAACCAGACATTGTGGTGATCATTTTGCAATATATACAAAGATTGAATCATGTATACTTGGAACTAACATGCCAACTATACCTCAATCATAGACAAGGACATCTGTGATCAAAGCTAATAAACAAAAATGATATACTCACTATGATATGAAGGTATCCATGGTTATGGTTAATATTTGCTCAGAGCTTTACAGTTTACAAAGTACATACAAACCTGATTTTAATGCATGTTCACAAAACCTTGTATTCAGTAGTGTTTTCATTCTAGACATGAAGATAAGGGGTTCAAAGATAACAAATATCCAAGACCATCTCAATACTAAGTGCCTGAGGAGAATTCACAACCAGATAGTCTCCTTCCAAATTGTATACACTTTCAATTTAATTTAGTAAAGAAATAGGATGAGCTTCTTTTGGCAGAAGGCAGGGTAATCAAGACAGAAAGACTCACTGTAACATCACAGACTGAGAAGTAAAAAGACTTGAGAATGCTCTGCTACCTATGCAGCCCACCAAGAAAAGATAAGAAGTAAAAATCACTTGTGAAAGTAAAACAGTATTTAACCAGCAAAAACAAAACAAAGTAAAACTATGATGTATCCAACCCCTTGCATAATTTCAAGACCACCTATTGTGCAAAAAAAGCAGTTAAAGTACATTATTTGTGGTAACTTTTGCACTCATAATTTTTAAAGTATGTTCACGTTGTCTTACTTATTCTAATCAATCCTAGAAAATGGCTGTAATAAAGATTATTGTTCACTGAGAAAAAAAGTGAACATAAAAACCTACATTAAGTAATTTGATTAAGGTCACACAGCAAATTAAGAGGGCAAGTCAAGACAGGAGAGGGAAAAACACAAGAGACTATGGTGAGCATTCAAATGTGAGGTAGTGATGGGAGACTTATAGGTATTGCACCTGAAGGGAGAAATCAAATGTTGTACAAAAGTGAGCAATGATGTAAGAGAACAAAAAATAAAATACCTTTAATTATTGAAGTTCTCTGTATGTCCACATAAATATTCTTTCCCCTACAATTTCCAGCATCACATGCTTTCCCATAAAAATATCAATAGCCAATAAATTAAAAATCCTTGACCATACAGCTACTAATTCTGCTTCAATAGTATCTGAAGCCATATTTTCCTTAATAGCTTCAAAGATAGTTAACTACACTAAAGAAAGAAGTGAGGATTCTTGCTACTTTTGTAGAACAGAAAAAGCACTCCCTTACATAAAGCAAATTACCAGAATTAGTGAGACTACTTTAGTCATAACTTATTGGTAGCAAATGACAAAAGTAAATTTACTTAACTTAGTCAACTCTGTATTCAAACAACTTTTAATACTTCTGAATCTGAATACCAGTATGACAAAAAAGTGAGCAGGGATGGCCCAGGAATTTCTTGTATATGGAATATTTTGTAGGCTACAAAATCAACATACAAAAATTCATAGCCTTTTTTTTTACATATAATGACCAAGAAGCAAAAGAAATTTAGAAAATAATTCCACTTAAAATAGCTTCAAAAAGAATTAAACATCTCAGAACTACCCAAAGGAGGCAAAGTTCTAAAAAAAATAAATAAATAAATAACCACAAGATTGAGTAGAGGACTTAAGAGAGTAAAATAAGGCGATAGAAGAGTATCCTATGCTCATGGATGGGGAGAATCAATATAATCAAAACAACTATCCCACTCAAAATAATATATAAATTTAACATAATCTCCATCAAAATACTGACAATATTTTTCAAAGAAATTGAATAAAAAATACTAAAATTTGTAAGAATTCACAAAAGGCCTCAAGTTGCAAAAAGCAACTAGAAGTAAAAAGGAAGAAATGGATGTATTATGTTACCTGACTTCAAACTTTTATTGTAAAGCAACAGTAGTAAAAACAGTATGTTATTGGCAAAAAAGTAAATAAATGAATCAAATGGAATAGAATTGAAAGCCTGAAATAAATCCACATACATACCAATACCTATGACAAAGCAGCTATAACCATAAAAGGGCAAAGAGGACAGTTCCGCAGTAAATGGTGCCAGGAAAATTGGAAAGCCACACAGAGGAAAATTAAGTCAGATCACGCATCAAACCTATATCCAAAAAAATAAAACTCTAAGTGGACAAAGTTTTAAATAAAAAATCTGCAGCAAAAACTATACACAAGAAAAATATTGACACTGTTCATAATACCAACAAAGATATTTTTGATGATTCAATTATTATGGCCAGTAAACCAAAACTGAAAGCAAAAGGGGCTACCTTAAGTTAAATGCTGACAAGACCAGATGAAAAAGATACTCTGTTTTTGTAAACCAAGTTACCTCAATTTAAAAAGTGAGAAAAATACTCTTAACTCTAATTTTAATGTGCAAAAACATGAAATGTACTGGATTTCAAAGCCAGTATGGGAAAAAAGAATGTACGAGAATGTAATTAATTTTTGTATTATATACCAAGATGTCAATATTTTGGATAAATTTGGGTTAAAAATAAATTTATTTTTTAAAGACACAGCCTATTAAATGGGAAAAAATATATAATATATAACTGATAAGGGATTAACATACAAGATATAAAACATAAATCAACAATAAAAGAATAAAAAATCCAATTAATAAATGAGCAGCAGATATGAACAGGCAAATCATGAAAAAGGATATCCAGAATGCAAACCGACCTATGAAAAAATGTTCATCACTTGCAACAACTGAGATGCAGGTTTAAAATCGCAATGAGATATAGTTTCATCCCTATTAGAATGGTACATATTAAAGACTGTCAACAAGTACTGGAGAGGATGCAGGGAAAAGGAACCTATTACAATACTGATGGTTGTCTAAACTAGTGCAATCATTATGGAAAGAAATCTGGAGTTACCTGAAAGAAACCACAAATGAACATATCATATGATCCAACAAATCCACTTTTGGGCATATCTCCAAAAAAACTAAACCATCAACACAAAAACCTATATGTCCACAGCAGCATTATTTATAACAGCTAGGATTTGGAAGTTGCCTAAGTGTCCAGATGACTGACACGTCAAGAAGATGGAGTACTACATAGCCATATGAACATGGAGTACTACATGGAGCACTACATAGCTATATGAAAGGATGAAATGCAACCATTTTCAATAAAACAGAGAGTTGAAAAGACAACTATATTTTGTTAAGGCAATTCAGAATGATAAAAGAATAACAGACAATAAGATAATGCAAAATACTTAAAAATAAAATAGTGGACATCAACATAAATCACGAGGAGTCTGAGGTTGAGGAGGAGAGGAGAAAGGGACTAAATATGGGTGATGATAATGAAAAAAATAAATACCACTTACTTCTGTGAAGATAAAGGGCTCATTTAAGAAAGAAATAACTATATATTTTATGTTAAAGAGAAACTTTGATTATCAATGGAAAGATTGTTCAATTCCTGGTTTAAACAGTAACAAAAATCTGTAAGTCTTACTCCATCATAGAAGGTGGGATTGTGCAGCAGTCTTGTATGGCAGTAAGGGGAGAGGTCAGGTGGGCTGTGTAGGATGCTTCCACCACTTGCTTGTTCCGGTTGACCACATCCAAGTAACGGTTGAACTTCTCTCGGATTTTTTTGGCTAGCTGTAAGGCAACAGTGAACAAAATAAATAAATCGAAAGGTCAAGGCAATAACCCACTGCACATTTTTCTGTAAGTTGATTAATTTGTTAACTTCAGGTAAAACAAACAACACATATCAAGTCTTACTACACTGAAGAGTTGAACTAAAAAATGAAAAATATTTAGAAGTTGGAAAAGGATATTCGAACAGCATTAAAGTAGTATCTTTTGTCTTACAACAGATGACAATGCATTACACATTCAAATAGAACAATATCATTCCATTAAAAACCTCATTGGAGAAAGGAGAAAAGTGCACTGATACTGTTGTCATCAAGACCCTGGACATCTGTTGCCACAAGGCCGTGTGAGGTAAAACAAAAACAAAACACCATCACAAAACACCGCTAACCCAAGGTGGATTTTCAGGGGAAAATTCAAAGGGGAAATGACATACAGTATCTCCAGGTGTATAACTCCAGGGGGCACCATTCACAGTTTTCCATATGAATGGCAATTCCCTGCAGCTACAGCCATATAAAACAAAATGCATAGTTAGAAATATACTCATGTTTGGGTCTTTTATACATTTCAGATGAATAAATGCCTCTCTTAACTGCTCTGAGCAGAAGAACACTTCATCATAATTTACTTTCATGTGTGAATAACAAGAGCAAATTGATAAGCATACTGCTTTTTCCTCCATTGTTTCCATCAAATATCACAGCTTAATTACAGATCTCCAAGGAAAAACTGTTGTTTTCTTCCCCTTAAACAAAATGTTACCCAAATGAAATGACTGATAGAATTATAGCTAATTGGTTTTGTAGAACTATTCATTACTAGCACACTAGAGGAGAACTAATCATCTCCTTTGGGTCATGCATCGCACAATCCAATAGCTTACAGGCTGAGAACAAAAGCCAAACCAAATATCTTCATTTGTTATTTTCAAGACAATTTTAAAATCTGATTTTGTTCCAGTGATATTCCGAAACATCAGTTTCCATTTAATAACTCAGGTTCTAAACCGTGCTAAATATTGCACAAACTATAAACTTTAGAGCAATTTCTGGACAAGAGTATGAATATAATGCTTCATTTGATAATGGCTTATCAAAATTAATTTTAGCACTTCCATCAATTCCAAAAACTAACAAGTTCACCTGCAAGTAATAATAATTATTTAAAAATGTAGGTTTTTCTCATTGAGATCATTGCAGTAAAATGGACAAAGCTTAATTTCCCATTTTAATTTCCACCCTGGGTGACTTTATGTTCCAGGACACATGCAACAATGTTTGGAAACCATTTTTGCCACAAAAATGGTGCAGCACACTACTACAGCTAGGAAATAGAAACCGTGCTGTTAAACTCCCCACAAAATCCAAAAGAGCTCTTCATGACCAAGAATCATCTGGTCACAAGGTCAATGGGGCCGCATTTGAGAAACACTCACATAGGAAAAAATTAAGGATAATCATTCCATTTTAATTCAGCCTAAAAGGTCCCACATCATTCTTCCAGGTTAGTGCACCCATCTAAAATGGGACATTAAGGGAGCAGAAAAAAAATCTAACAAACTTCATTATTTATAAATTTCTATTTTGTTCTTTATGTGGAAGACACCATCATGGATGCCTAGTATGTTTTCAAAATGTAGCTTAAATACCAATAAGGACTATTCACTCATGAGTAGCTGTTTTGTAATTTTTGAAGAGCATTTTGTGCTAGTAGAGCAATCCTTTTCCCCCAGACTCCTAAATTTGATGAGTGACTGAAGATGAGACACTTAGGTCCCCTTAAAAAAACTTTTTTTCCCTGATGGCCAGCCTCCCTTGCCCCCACATAATGTACACATTACGTTTTAATTTTACTATTTGGTATTTGGCAATTTTGCTTGACTTTATGCTCTGTAAGACCTGCTACTATGTATGTTTTGCTCATCTCTGTATCTTCAGCACCTAGAACACTGGCAGGCATTGTAGGAAACAAAAAATATTTAAATAATTAAGTATAAAAGTAAAGTATGAGTAAAGATAAATTCACACCTGAAACTCATTAATCTTATCTGTTGGTCTAAGGATCAACAACTTCGTAAAAATCATGGAATACTTCTTTTAAAAATATGCAATAATCTATTTTTCTGGAAACCCCATCAAAACATGCTCCACCGGCCCTCCCTGGTGGCGCAGCGGGTTAAAGCACAGCACTGAGAATATGAAGCCACTTCCGCATGAGTTCGATTCCCGCCTGCCGCCTGCCCCGGAGGAGACCACATGGCGAGCCAGACCTCTCCTAACCCGCCTGCTTCCCTCAGCAGTGTACTTCGTCGATCTGCCTGTTCTGCTCCCCACTCTGTCTCTGGTGAAGCCTCTCACCGCCCCTGAGCCTCTGGCCTGTACCCCAGTTCTGTATGCACAAATAAATAAATAAATAAATCTTTAAAAAAAAAAAAAAAAACATGTTCCACCTTTTTAGGTGCTGAGAAAAGACAAATGTCACTAATTTTCCACAAACAAGTATCAAGAGTTAGTCCTTCTCCGCCCTTGGGAACAAATACCTATTACAGGATGAAGATAAAGTGTATGACAAGGGATTGAATTTCCAAATAGTGTTCACAAATTCACTTCTAAAATGAGATAAAGTATGCAATCATTCCTGCTTTTCACATGCATAAAAATATACACGCATACAATGTATAAAATTCAAACTCCTACAGTTCTATTGAAATGCAGTCATTTGCTTACATGTTGTTTCATGTGTTTTTTTTTACTATATGATGGCAGAATTAAATGGTTGTAATATAGACTGTATTGGCTGCTTTGCTGTATTAGAATTCAAGTGCGTAATATGTCTCAAGACAGAGCCATAATCCTAGAAGTTTTATAAAAAATATGTTGCAATTCTTTAACACTCCTCCTTATTTTCCAGGTGGGGTCCATGTTCCTGCTTGAATCTGGCTGGGCTTACAATGGTCTCTACCAACAGAATGTAGGAAAAGTAACTCAATTCCCAAGGCTAGGTCATGCAGTTTCTAGCTTGGAATGCTCTCAGCCATCATGCTGTAAGTAGTCCAAGACACAGGAAGCGGCTACAGTTAAGTGCTTGGTTGGCAGCACCAGCTGAGCAAGTCTTCAAGTTATCCCAGCTCAGGCTCCGGATATGAGTTAAGAAGCCTCTAGTGAATTCAAACCTCTAGTTCTCTTCCCTAACCCCACCCCCCACCATGTAGCCCCAGGCATTATGAAGCAGCGATAAGCCATTCTTGATGTTCCTAGACTGAATCCCTGAGTCACAGCACCTATTAGGATTAAAAAAAAAAAAAAAATAGTTGTTTATGCCACTAAATTAGGGGTGATTTGTTATGCAGCAACTAGTAACTAGAACACCCAGGGTACGGTCCCATCCTAAAAAAACATATTAAATCTAAACAAAGCCTCTCCCATCCAGGTACTCTATCTAAAGCACCAATCAAGAATGCAGCCCATGGGTGAAAAACCTGTGAAGAGATTTTCGTGTTCTTCAGAAAAATTAATAGCTAAAGCACAGCAGTTCTTACCCTTCTATTAGGCACAGGACTCTACAGTCTAGGTGTTGTCATTTTTAACAATAAGGTTAAGTGAATAGCCCCAAGCCCCCAAATAAGTGAGAACCACTCCCTTATTCATACTCAGGGTAGTTTTGTTTGTAAAGCCTGCGTATTCACCTGCTCTAGCTAGAGGGCTTCAGACAAAACCAACCTTAAAGAAGTTTCAGGGGTAGCACAAAGTGACAGACAAGGCCTCTCACACAGGTTGAAGAGTCCTGTTAACATCACTGACCAAGACACAAAGAGCCCCTTAGCACTGAGCTAGACTTGGAATTAAGTACTACTTGACTGGGGTGACTGATATTGATGGGGGAGAGGGCATTATCTGCCTTCCTCCTGGTTAGCGTGGGCCTCAAAGGGCAGCCTTCATCTGTGGAGCAGTAACTTGTAGGCAGAGCCCAGATATACATGACAATTGACAAAGGGGCTCAAGCTCAAATGCAAGTTCCCTTTATTTAGAGTCACAGCTCTTAGAAACTGCTGCAGAAACCATAATCTTTCATGCTGTGATACCTCATCTTGTCTTGCTAGGGAAAAAATTGCTGACATTTGTTAAGTGCAAACTATGTGTGGGCCACTATTCTGAGCACCTCGCAAGCACATGTCAATTAAAAAGTCACCTATCAATTCAGTCCTTCAAAGAAGCCATAAAAGGGCACTCATTGATTTTCCAGAATGAACATGGACACTTAAATAACTTGCTCAAGGTCATAAACCAGCAAGTAGTGGACCTGGGATCCAAATCCAGTAGTCTGACTTCAGTGTAAGCTTTCTCTCTGGAATAGATGCTGCTGTCCTCCCCAGCCCCTCTGCCCAAACCCGCCCATTCCTTTCAGAACCGTGTTAACAAGTTCTTTGAAATGCTTGGCTTAAACACCATAATCCAGGGAGTCTCATTACTTGATAATAAAATTTGTAAAAATTAGTATGATGTCATTTAGAATGCTTCATAATTCTTATGAAAACCAACTTCAAATAAGTTTAGAATTCCTGAGTCCCACCACTGATACAAAAAGAGAGCCAAAACTGAGATAATGCATTCTCCAGAATCATAGTTTACTTATGATCACCTCCCTAATAGATGGGCTAAGTGTCAACAAAAGAACTTAAATCATTCTAATTACTCCACAGAGTTTGCTAGTTTGTCAGAACCCAGAAAGAGAACAGAATGGATGTTCAATGACTCCTTTTGTTCTGGAAGTGAATTTCAGAGTCCAGCCCTTCTCTCTGAATTTTCATCTGAATTAATTTATCTGTCTATCATTAAAACAGTTAAGATGTTACTACTGCCCATTTTACAAATAGGAAAACTGAGGCAGATGGAGTTTTGTGACCTCTTGACTCCCAGGGTATAACTCTGGCCTCTCTTGACCCTGCTGCCTGAGATGACCCTCCTAGGCCTTTCTGACAAGGAATGTGATAGAGACTC